ATGCAGCTCCACATCCTTCAGATCAACGTCCACTGACTTCACGCCACTAGTACCTCCGCTGTGCTCCATACCTCACGCGGTGAAGCGCACATGAGGTAACCTACTCCGATACCACTTGTAGGATCTCTGGTAAGCCTAGAGGGGGGGGTGAATAGGCATGTTAAAACAAAACTCAAATAGATGTTAAATTTCACCTGCGGCACTGTCGGGCTATAATAGTGGCACTACTGCACCTACATACAACTTCGAGTCACAGTTTAAAATCAGTGAATGGAGACTTAGATCAGAGAAATTCCTTAGCTTCCTATAGGTATGAGTTTCACAGATCAAAAGCTAGAAGTGGTAGGAACTCCACACACAAGTAGATCAGCCACAAACCCTAGAATCTACCTCAACAACAATGTAAAATGCAAGTGAAGTAAATCAAGTATAAGGTGACATAATGATTTATCCCATGGTTCAGCTTGCCACCAAGGCTTACTTAAGTTCACGTTGTTGAGGTTGCTACTAAGGCTAGGGCTTTGCAACCCTTCCTCGTTCTCAAGCCAAGAGAGTTACCTCTTGAGATGGTGAATTTACTAGCTGCAAGAGATGGTTACAAACCTCCCGGGGCTGCCACACAAGTTGGCAAGCTCCATGGGCGACGCTCTAGCCGGCTAGGAGCCAAGCTCCAAGAGTAACAAACACAACTGCCTGCCAAAACATGAACTAAATGCTCTTTAGGCTTTGAGAATAAGTGGATTTGCTCTCTAATCGAGTTTGGCACCTTTTTCTCTTAAGGATTGATGGGGAAATCAATGGAGAAGCTTGGAAGCTCAAGGTCACCAATGAAGGAGAGAGATAAGCACTTTTCTATTCTTAGGCGAACTGAATGGTTCAGAGAGAGAAGAGAGACGTTGGAGAGGAAGGGGAAATGTATAAATACCCCCCAGCCCCCAACGGTCATTTAAGTTGCGGCAGTGTCGTGGCTCAAGTGTGGCAGTGCCGCTCTATGGTGGTGCCTCTCTCCAGGTGCGGCATTGCTGCACAAGGTAAGACAGCAAGGGTAAGAGTGAAGTGCTGGCTGTCTTGGCTGAGTAACTGAGGATGTAGGTGTAAGATAGATCACTTGGTAACATATGTTAGCTCAAGCATTGTGTCTCTCTTTATAGTACGGCTTTTACTATACTCAAATTCCAAATATAAAAGAATTTAAACCTTCTTTGAGTTTGAAGCCATCGATATTTATAATTGGGGGCACCTCCATTTCATATAGCATCCTCGATTATATATTCCCTGCTTGTCATCTCGATAAATCTCATTAGTGCTTGATTGCACTTTCAAGATGCCTTGGAGCCGTAGTTGTGGAACTTTGGCATGAGTTGGTGATTGTTCGTAGCCACTCCTGATCGTGATTACGAGGGGGACTTGGGCTTATTCTCCGATGGAGCACCAAAAGCCACTCTAGTGGAATGCTCGTGACTTGTGTACCCTCATCTTGTGTTGGTTCTTACGACACCCTTGTGTAGGGTTTTGGCTTGTGTATGTCAATTAGCCGTAAACCACCAAGTGAGTGAGTCGTCACAACGGAGACTAGCTTGCCGGCAAGCAAGTGAACCTCGGGATAAATCTTGGTGTCATCTCTTAGTATTCTTGATTGATTTATCTCTTATCGGCTCAGTATATCACTTATATCCCTCGTATTTATATTATTTGACATACTTGTGTAGCTAGTGAAATAGAGTGGTAATTAGTTGAGTAGCTAGTTGTTTTAGTTGCTTAGCTAGCTCAACTAGTCTAGTAGTAGTGACATAGCCTTTGTGTGCCATAGAGATTGTAATTGACTAGCATATTGGTAGGTGGCTTGCCATTGTAGTAGGCTAGAGCAAAACACAATTATCACCTTATTGTTGTCTAACAATTGGCTCTAGTGCTTTATAGATTTTTTTTAATTAGGTTACAATTTGCTATAGTGCTTTGTAGATTTTTTTTAATTAGGTTATTTAGGACCTTATAATAGTGCAAAGACTATGCAAAGGCTAGTTGATCCTATCCGTTATGGCACACCGGATGGTCCAGTGACGCACACCAGATGGTCCGATCTTGACCAATAGCAGCCCAAAATGCATAAAACAAGATGTCCTCAGGTCGGAACCTGGAAAGTGAATGGAGCAAAGGTTCAGGGCAGAGTTGCCCATCCTAAGCCTACTTTTGACCAGTTGTTTGATCAAGTATAAGCATCAAGCATCTATATTTCTATGAATTGACCATTAGAAAGAGACCACGCTCACCTCCGCAGCAAAAAAAGATGACACTGCCATAGGAAGCTAAGGCAAAAGATAGAGGTCTCTATGGTGTATCCTCCAAGTTCATCACATTTTGTTGCACCATGGCTTCCACATCTGCCTTATGCTTTGTATTTGACATGGAATTATGGAACCCGTGGATGCAATATCCTTATATGCGATTCCCAACTATTTACTCAGGGTTGATGTGCAACAACAATCATTGTTTGACAGATTTTCACAGCATGCGCACAACCGATTGGGTCCTAACCAATCTGATTTTGGGAAGACACGAGAGTCAGACCGAACGGTCTGGTGTGATGGACCCGATGGTCCGGTCTTCCAGAAGCAGAAAGTACGCCTATGAAGAATGTAAATCATGTTAAGGAGGGAGCATATCCTGTGAGACCTAATTTGGCTAGCTAGAACAATGGCCAATGATGTTACTACTATAAACATACAAACTTTACTACTTTTATTTCTCCAATCCCTAAATCTTTTTTCAACCCTGAATTTTTGTTCTCTCTTTTTTAGATTGGATACGAACAGATATTGCGAATATCAAATATGGTAGTCGTTTCTTTATGGGATTCAAAGTCGAATACGGATAGTGTCCGATGCATTGGATATTGACATCTATGTCATATATGTATCAGCAATCCAATTTTGAGAATTCGGATTTGGATACGGTATGGATATTAAATATCGAAATTCATATATGGATTATCCAAGTATGGTTTAAAACCTTGCGGAATGGATGGATATCGGGAAATATCTATCATGTTTTCATCCCTAGTTACGGCGACTTGAGGCATTCTAAGTATCTTGCTAACTTTAAAACAACCCTAAGTGCACTAGCCCTAATGGATCCCTCCTGGTCTAATGTTCAAAGGTTTTCCTAGCGAAACAGAGAGCACCGGACAGTCCGGTAGCTGACACTGCATGGCCCAACGTGCACAATCCCATTGACACCACACGGTCCAGTGCACACGAACTCGTTGAGGGTTCATTGATCTGCGATCCGTATGTTCTAGCATTATGGTCTGATGTACAAATTGGACGAGAGCTCACTGATCCAACTCTCTGTGTCCCGCACGTTGTAGCGTTGTGGTGCGTGGACGTTTTTGGCGCTAACAAAGGGCAACATGATGTTTCTCATGAATATAAAATCAATTTAGCTCATGCATTAGTTTGTTTGAGTTTTGTTCAAAAGCTAGAAAAAATTTCTTCTGACAAACGCTATAAAAAAGTCTATTTGTGAGAAACCAATTTTAAAAGCCACTTGCTTTTCAAGTAAGTAGCCAGCTTTGAAATTTGCTTCTCAAAAAGGCATTTTTTAATCTATTTCAACTTACTTTAAATTCATGATGAAACCAATAGAAACTCAAACAAACAGAGCCTAACATTTCAGCAAATACCAAGTTACAATGAGCACTTATTTATAGTAAGAAGTATGGCTAAAAAGGTGGCTCTGACAACTTTTTAAAAAAAGAAAGTTGGCCCTGTTCATTTCGCTGAAAGGACAGGCTGAAAAGTATTGTTCGCTAATTTGCTGTGAGAGAAAAATATTGTACAATGGCTGATAAGTTCAATACTATACATGAGACAGTAGAATTGACAATTTATTAGGTAACAACGATCGGCCCCATTCGGCTTACATTAAAAGCCGGCTTGTTCGGCTTTTTTTTTCAGCCGGAACATTGTTTTTCTCTCACAATAATTCAACTTTACCTTATTTTTCAACCAATTTCAGCCAAATGAACGGGGCCGATATAAGTCAGTACTAGTTAGAACCATACAGATAGAGGAACATCGCTTTTATTGATGACAGTTTGATAATGCATCAACCTATCAAGACTATGTTCGTGTCACTTTCGGTACAGTTGTGCGGTGCAACCGTGCAACAAAATATTAAAACCCTGCATGCCAACGTTTGATAATGTGCACATAAAACATCCTTTTCAGTAATTAGTTTTTTTATCAACACAATCGCAAATTAAAGACATCTGCATATATTTCGCTTGATCGTATCAGCCATACTTATTAGCTATGATACAGTGTTTTTCTCTCACAACAAAACAGATCAAGCCGGCTTATAAATAAAAAAAACGATCAAGCAAACAGGTGCCTTATGGTTCCCATTCTTGTTGAAGTATTGACTGAGAGAGGCAATACGGTGAGATATTTCGATTTCCAGATTCTCAATGGACACTCCTAAATTAGTGTTCTTGCGCTGCTGCAGCAACGTGTTATGGTTAGTCTGCGGTGAGGACGACCAGCAAAGCATCGGTGATGATGCTCCACAGCACAACCACATAATAAGCGTAACCACCTAAACGTAATTACGCGCAGTTACTGCGGCCTCCTGCTTCCCAACCCCACCGCCATCAATGCGTGATCTACTACCAGCGCACGGCACAACAGTAGCGTGCCCTCGTTCCTCGCCACCTTCCCAACCGTGGATTGTGAAATTGAAACAAGCAGAAGAGCCCTCTCCTCTCCTCTCCTCTCCCACTCATCGCAGAACGCAGAGACAGACAGAGAGAAAGCGGAGAGGAAAACGGCAGATGCGTGAAACCCAATCTACACTTGCACAGTAGAAGCAGGAATCCTTCCTCCATTAAATAAGGGGGATGCGTGTCGCGGCTAGCCAGAGCCCGAGCTGCTGCTGCATCCCGCTAGCTAGCCTAGCAGCAGAGTGTGTGGCGGAGTTACGCAGTGGACAGCGCCAGAAAGATGGAGGGCAGCAGCGGAGCATACGGTGGCAACGGGGAGGCGTGGCGCGGCGCGGTGTCGCCGGCAGCGCGGTACGCGGAGTCCGGCGGCGCAAGCCTGACGTGGGAGAACCTCACGGCGGTGCTGCCGGGCGGCGGCGGCCGGGCGACCAAGAAGCTGGTGCAGGGGTTGTACGGCTACGCCGTGCCCGGCCGCGTCGTCGCCATCATGGGGCCTTCCGGCTCCGGCAAGTCCACACTCCTCGACTCCCTCTCCGGTACGTACCAGGCCGTCCGGGCCTTTCTTCGTCTTCCTCGCGTCGCGTGTCCTGCTCCTGCCCACGCGGAGGATTCAATGCGCAGCCGCACCTCCGTACTCCTCCTCCCTCTCCTATACGGCGTGCCTCCATGGACTATTTAATTTGGACCAAGCTGTAATTAGTAATTACAAACTACTCCTCCTGAACTAGTGCTGTCATGCATCATCCAATGGCTCGTAATCAAAACCATTTATTTGAGCATTTCAGAGGCTTAATAAAACATGAAAGCTCTCTAGTACCAAATTTTGATTCAATTCGTTCATGAAGGCATGGATGATGTGCATGAGAGACGGATTGATTTTGTGTGAGCGATCTGCAGGGAGGCTGGCAAGGAACGTGGTCCTCACTGGGAAGGTGCTGCTCAACGGCAAGAAGAGGCGGCTGGATTATGGCATCGTGGTGAGCATCAGCTACCTCGCGCCATGCATGCAGATGAATTATTAACCCATCACGTGTTTCATACCAAACTTGGCAATCTCATCATGACCGTCATGCCCCCAAACAAATAACCTCTTACTACTTGCTATACATATGTGCATGTTCTTTTTATTTTTATTTTTGTTGTTGTTTCAGTTTCATTCATCGATTGATTGATATGCATATATCGATCCGATCTGAATTCAAGCTTCTACGAGCTGTTTAGCTCTCGGACAGATCATAAGCATCATTTCACCATATTAAGGTTTGGTGTGGATATAGTGAGGTTTTTCTATGCAAACGTGGCGCGTATGCATTCAGAGGAAAATGGATATAGTTGGGTTAATTACAAATAATCAGCCTGTTCGCTGGTTGGTTTCTGGGCTGATAAGCCCGGCTGGTGGTGGTTTGTCGTGAGAGAAAACACTATACTATGGCCGATAAGTCCTGACTGAAACCAACAAGAGAACATGCTGAATATCTTGAGATAGATAGCTAGGTGTAGCTGGCAGGCCGGGTGACCTCCTAAGGATACGTGCCACCAATCTGAAGGTGGAGTTTAGGATCCAACGGTTGAGGTTTTATGGCAGCAACATAGTATGTTTTGGAATGTTTGCTTAATCATCCAACCCCTTTTAGTAGTAGGAGTTATTTGGATGGGTGACGTGTGTAAGAAACCAAGCTATATTTAGGACTCAATTGATGCCTGTGTCTTTTCCTAGTCAGTTTGCTGGTAGTTCCACAGCAGAATTATTTTGTTTTCTAAAGGTGCGTTGAGTGGGTATAATTTCCAAACTAATCATCCTTGTTTTTTTTGTTCATGACATTATTATAGGTTTTAATTGTGTATATGCCATGACAGAGCAATGGGATTTGTATAAATCCCCCCTGTTTAGAACTTCTGAATTTGCTCCCTATCACATCGGATGTTTGGACTGTTGATCCTTGGCTGCCCTGCACAGGTAAGCAACCAGCTTACCAGCACACACACTCACTCACTATCGCTAGAGGGAGAAAAAAAGATTGAGAACAGCGCACACACACTCAGCACAAGCACCAGCGTTGGCCGAAGCCCTGCCCTTTGGTTTGTGCAACTGAACTGAGTATTCCATTGCCCTTTGGATGGAATATATACAACTCTAGCTGTACCTCTACCAGGTACATAGTTGTTGGCCAACTACCTACTCCTGAGTACAAGAGTACACCAACTACCTACTCCTAAGGTACAGGGTACATCAACTACCTACTTATAAGGTACAGAGTATACCAACTACTCCTAGCAGTACAAAGCTTACCTCAGCCCACTACCAAGACATAGCTGATGTAATAGCTACCAACTAATGTACTAGAGGTTGCCTATTGCAATACTCCTACAGCTACAAGAATTGATCGGCAGAGCCGATCAGTCCCCAATTCCCAACAGGGAGTGGTCGGCCGAGCCGACCAGTCTCCAACCAAGGAGAGAATGGGGAGCAGCAGATTATGTCTAACATGGACACATACATGGAGTGTTAAATATAGACTAAAAAAGTAACTAATTGCACATATTGGGACTAATTTGGGAGATTATTTTTTTAAGTCTAATTAGTCCATGATTTGACAATGTGGTGCTATAGTAAACATGTGCTAATGACGGATTAATTAGGCTTAATAAATTCGTCTCGCGGATTACTGAGGACTTCTGTAATTTGTTTTATTATTACTATCCGAACACTCCTATGTGACGCCACAATGTAACACCCGATATGACGTCCCTAAACTTTACTCTCTGGATTTAAACATCACCTAAGAATTAGAGTAAAAAAAATTCAGCACAATTCCTTTCCTTCAACAACATATTCAAATCCTCTTTCACATGAGCCCTAGTCCCAAGATGGTCTCGTGCCACTCCCCAGCCTGCACCACCATCTGAAAATGAACTACCAGAGTGGCACCCGAATTGAATGCCCAGCTAATTCCAAAGATAGCATTCATTACTGATGCAGTTGTATATCCCTTTCGGATCTTTGAATGGATGTCATACTGCCATCACAAAGTTTGTCAAAACAATGGCAACAAAATTTTTGAGAACAATGTTATGGTCAACAGTTAACTTAATTCGCAAAAAAAAAAGTTAAGAAAAACTTAATAATTAATTGTTGAATGGACTAGTCTCTAACTTTGACCCGTACACGGTTGAGTTTTGAAGATACATGAGGGAATCTTTCATCATCAGAACAAAGAAAAACCACAGTATGCTAGCTTGCTCCTATCCTCAAAGCACTAGACAAATAGTCTTGAAAATTTCTTATAAGAATTGTTGATCTAAACTTGTAAAGCATGTGCTAGTATCATTAAGCATCATCCCACACGAAATTTCAACCAAATATCAACGTGTACCTGGAGGAAGAGAAACTATATGATGCATGGGTATCTACTAAAATAGTATAGTCCGCTACAAATTATCAGTGCCAAGGTTGGGATGATCGGCATAAATACTTATTATCCAATTCTCTTTTTTTTTTGCGATGATTACTAGTCAAAGTTAGCAGGATCTACATGATAGATTCTTTTGAAAAGCAAAGAAACATTTTTCAATGGACACAATGATTTCAAAACTAGTATAAGCAAGTCATACACGAATTGAATTTTTTATTAGATCCTTTTTGGTACAACAACATAGCCTTTCAGTCCCAAACAAGTTGGGGTAGGCTAGAGTTGAAACCCACCAAGAGCCCCAAGTCACGATTCAGCCACTTTAATAACTGTTTTTCAAACATTCCTATTCAAACATAGATCTCTAGGTATATTCCAAGCTTTCAAATATCTTTTTATTGCCTCCCTCAATGTCAGTCTCGGTCTTCCTCTACCTCTCCTCATATTATTAGCTTGACTTAGGACTCCACAATGCACTGGTGCCTTTGGAGGTCTCCTTTGGATATGGCCAAACCACCTCAACTGATGTTGGACAAGCTTTTCTTCAATTGGTGCTACCCCTATGCGATCACGTATATCATCGTTTCGAACTCGGTCCATTCTTGTGTGACCACAAATCTATCGCAACATACGTATTTCTGCAACACAAATCCTTTTTGTAAATTGTCTAATATTATCCAGTATCTATTTTGCTTCTTGACCTTGCCAATTTATTTGGCCTGCACATATATGAATTTTGTGTGAGTCTAGCCGATTTAATTTAGAACTATACTTATGTAAAGTGTTTATAGCAATCAGAGAACCTCATGTACCTAGTGTTCACCAAACTTGAATAGTTTTTTTTTTGTGAGAAAAGAGGTGTGGAAACTCTTCAGTTCATTTAAATTGCAAGAAACTTTCACTCAAGTAGGAAATTCTAAAAACTTTTACTTTAGCAATGTCCACAGAGTCTTACCGCCTGTGACCGAAGGTCCCGGGTTCGAGTCGCGGTCTCCTCGCATTGCACAGGCGAGGGTAAGGCTTGCCACTGACACCCTTCCCCAGACCCCGCATAGAGCGGAAGCTCTCTGCACTGGATACGCCCTATGTGGTTAACATCATCAGCTAGCAAAATGACCTTGAAAAAGTCAACTGTATGCTATCTGATGTCAACATCTCTGTGGACACAACATGACAGGCATATGTGACCCAAGAGAACGTGATGCTGGGTACACTGACAGTGCGTGAGACGGTGACCTACTCGGCCCTCCTCCGGCTGCCATCAAGCATGCACAAGTCAGAGGTGCGCCGCATCGTGGACGGCACACTGGATGAGATGGGCCTCCGGGAGTGTGCCGACCGTCACATCGGAACCTGGCACCTCCGCGGCATCAGTGGTGGCGAGAAGAAACGCCTAAGCATCGCGCTGGAGATCCTTACTCGCCCGCGTCTCCTTTTCCTCGATGAACCCACCAGTGGCCTTGACAGTGCCGCTGCCTTTTCTGTTGTCCAGACGCTGCGGCATCTCGCCGTTGATGGTGGCCGCACCATCATCTCCTCCGTGCACCAGCCCAGCAGTGAGGTATTTGCACTCTTTGACGACCTCTGCCTCCTCTCCAGTGGGGAATGTGTCTACTTCGGTGACGCCAAGCTAGCAACACAGGTTTGTTTCGCTTTACGTAGCTGGCAACCGATCAACTACAAATGCATTTCAATTATATCACATTGAAATTAAGAAATGTTGCTCTGTTCACGCATGCAGTTCTTTGCGGAAACAGGGTTCCCATGTCCCAGCCGGAGGAATCCATCTGACCATTTCCTCCGGTGTGTCAACTCAGACTTTGATGACGTTGCTGCCACCATGAAAGGATCCATGAAGCTGCGACCAGTACGTGCCCTGTGATTTGAGCCTTTTACTTTTAGATACATATGTTTTCTGATGGGTCTTTGATCAAATTTTGTTGAAGGAGGCAGAGCTTGATCCCCTGTTGAAGTACTCTACCACAGAGATCAGGGAACGGCTGGTGGACAAGTACAGGATCTCAGATTATGCCATGATGGTTAGGAGCACAATACACGAGATAACCAAGATTGTAAGCATCAGTTTGCATTCAAAATTTTGTCAACATTTGAATTGTTACTTCAGTATTTTGAATGTTTTTGTTGCTGTGAATTTGATGAAAATAATGCAGGAGGGTGTGATGGTGGAGGTGATCCGTGGCAGCCAGGCGAGCTGGTTCAAGCAGCTCTGCACGCTGACAAGCCGGTCTTTTACCAACATGTCCCGCGACTTGAACTACTACTGGCTGCGCATCATCATTTACATCATCATGGCCATCTGCCTGGGAACCATATACTACGATGTGGGCACAAGCTACTCGGCCATACAGGCGCGCGCCTCGTGTGGTGGCTTCGTGTCCGGCTTCATGACCTTCATGTCCATCGGTGGCTTCCCATCCTTCATTGAGGAGATGAAAGTGTTCACCCTTGAGCGCCAGAATGGCCACTATGGTGTTGCCGCCTACATCATCTCCAATTTCATCTCCTCCATGCCATTCTTGCTCACCGTGTCCTGTGCTAGCGCTTCCATCACATACTGGATGGTCAAGTACCGGTCAGGCTTCAGCTACTTCGCCTTCTTCGCCCTCAACCTCTATGGTGGCGTCTCTGTCATTGAGAGCCTCATGATGATCATCTCCGCCCTCGTGCCAAACTTCCTCATGGGCCTCATCCTTGGTGCTGGTGTCATTGTAAGTCTATCTTCTCGTTGACTTGTCCTTCATTCCTACCTTTTGCTCACACAGGTTTTCCATGATTTTGCAGGGGATCATGATGTTGACGTCCGGATTCTTCCGACTGCTTCCGGAACTTCCGAAGATCTTCTGGCGGTATCCAGTGTCCTACATAGTCTATGGGTCATGGGGATTGAAGGTATGTCATCACTTCTAATTTTTTTACAAGTCCTTTTATCCAGAAATACAAACTCCGACACCAATGTTAAGGGCTGCTGTCTCACGCAGGGCGGGTACAAGAACGACCTGATTGGGCTGGAGTTCGAGCCAATGGTGCCAGGGCAGCCAAAACTGACAGGAGAATACATCATCACCGAGATGATGGGGCTGAGCCTGAATCACTCCAAGTGGTTGGACCTCGCCATGATCTTCGTTCTCCTCTTTGCCTACCGCCTCACCTTCTTCATCGTGCTAAAGGTCAAGGAGGCTGCTGCGCCATACATCCGTGTCGCCTACACACGCTTCACTGTCAAGCGTCTTGAGCGGCGTGCCTCCTTCAGGAAGACGCTGGCCATGACGTCTATGTCCAAGCGGCACAACCCGCCGCACCCCATGGCCATCCAGGAGGGCCTCAACTCGCCCATGCCATACTGAGCCGAGGAGACGAAGAGCAGAGAGTGCTGCTGGTAGCTAGTGGTTGATATCACAATTACATGTGTATGTGCTTACAGATTTGTCTGTTTGATTGTTTAGTTGTCATAGCGATCTCAAAGATACCCACGCGATACAGAGTCTTCAGAGCATTCGTTTCACTGTAATAACTCTGAACACCCATACACATAAAAGATAGTGTTGTGCACTTGTGCGTACTTATTTTTGTAAATATTAAATCAGGCAATGATCCTTAAGAAAACCACGCAGTCAAAAATACTTATTATCTGTGACGTGGGTAGGCGAGTAATGCATGTCTTGGTCTGAGCAATCTGAAGAATGTTACGTGTTTTTTTTGTGTAAGGATTTTTAATAGACAATGGGAATAGCTTTACCGAAAGTAGTTTTATTAGGAGAAAACGAAAACAAATGCTCACATGGTTATTTAGTAAAACCAGGTACAGCAGGACACCCCCCCCCCAAAGTAGTCTAGTTTGGTAGAGCACCCTTTCCTAATTATGAGCTTTATATTTTTATTCCCTAAGAACATCTCCAAGCACTACTATCTAAATATCTAAACAAAACCCTAATTTTGTGTTTGGGCTTCTATCTATTTTGATATTACTCATTTTTTTATTGTCTACTTCAGCAGCACTAACTAAAATATGTTCTCCGAATCCATCTCGATAGAGAATGACATGTAGGATCCACATGTCATCTTCTTCCTTCTCTCATCGCCATAGAAAAACTCGTCCATCTCCCTGTGGGCTCGCCATGGCCTCCGGAGAAGAGTCGGCGGGGGACGGGAGGATCGGAGCCAGCTGGGTGCTCCCTGTGGACTCGCCATACATGGGCTCCGCAAAGGGCGCTCCCTGCGGGCTCGCCATGGCCTTCGTTGGGAGGAGCATCCTTTGAATGGAGGCGACAACGGGAGGGCTGCACGTGGGAGAGGAAGCCTCCAGGAGGGCCGTGCATGGGAGAGGGGAGTCGCCGGGAGGACCGCGTGCGGGTGACGAGTCCACGGTGGGGAGGGCCATGTGCGGGTGACGAGCTCACGGCGTGGGGGGTCACGTGCGGGTGACGAGATCACGGCAAGGAGATCCGCCCGAGAGAGGGGAGGCGGCGGGAGGGCCACACGTGGGTGAGGGGCGGCACCGGGGGAGGGTTGTCGGAGAAGAGGTCGCGTCGTTGTAAAGGTGACTCGGCGGCAGAAGGGGTGCTGTGGCGGAAGAAACGGTCGCGCGGGAGGAAACATATGAACAAGAAAATAGATAGGTACATTTTTTTTAGGGAACCACATGATTCCATTAACCTTGTGAACCAGATAAATAACTGATCACCAGCACATGGCCCAACAAAAGTGGGTATTTTTCATTTCTTATTTTTACATATGTATTTCTATCCTATTCGTATGTTTTCTTATTCTTGCATTTTGTCAATCCTATGGGTCCGTTTGTTTGAGATTGAAGCCAGCCATTTGGGCTGCGGCGGCGGCTGCTGCGACCTCAAGACACAAAAACAATGCTGACACAAAAACAATGTATCGACGTGGGAATCAGCAGCCACAATGCTGACAAAAGCCAGCCCACAGATCATATATTTCAAAGGAGAATAAGATACGATGGGATAGAACTGTAATTTCTATGGATCAGACGTGACGAGTGGAAACTATAGTTGAGATGTGGCAAGGGCAGTTTTAGGCTCTCGGGCTTCACCAGTGGCTGGCTTTTTTAAGACGCCCTATTAACTACCTATAAAATGACTCGTGAAGTCAAAACCAAATTAAAATAGCAAAAACCCATTTTTTGATTCTTAAATAAAAGCTGAAAATTATGTCTTTTTTGTCTCTACCATTTTTATATAGAGGAGCAAAAGGCTACTAAAGAGAATCTAATTAGTGCAACTACTCTGACTCATTGGAAGCTTTAGCCTTTGTTTGAATGTATACGTATCCACCTCAATCTACATGTGTGGGAGTGGATTGGTGTGAAACTTAAACTAATTTCTACTCTAATCCACTTCAACACATGTGAATTGATATGGATTAATATACATCAAACAAGGTCTTACGAGGTGTCGACTGCCGATAAAAACAGTAAAAAAAACCATTCGAAGCTTTTATGTGCGGTGCCGACTGCCGAACCGAAGACAGTAAAAAAAACACCTTTTCAAAAAAAAAGCGAAGAATATATTTAAAATAAAATTTAAAAAATCGTCCAACAATGGCTCTGCTCAGCTGCCATTAGAATTTTTCTCTCCGGACAAAAAAAAAGGCGTACGAATCACGACAAGCCGCGTGTAACCCAGCCGGCAGAGCCTCTGCTTCATTTCCACGCGCACGAAACCCTAGACTAGATAAAAATTCCCCTCCCCTCGATTCCCCAACTCCCCTCGTCGCAATCCCTCCTCACCGCCTCCGGAGCCACCGTGAGATCTGCCCGGTTCCGCCGCCCGGACCCTAGGGGACTCCCTCGCCTCCTCGATCCGTTCGGGCGGCCGGCCGGCCTTCCTTCAAAAGCGGGGATGGTGTTCTACTTCAAGGTGCGGCCCGAGGCCGGCGACTACACCATCTTCATGGGCCTTGACAAGTACGAGAACGAGGACCTCATCAAATACGGCTTCCCCGAGGACATCTGGTAACCTCATCTTCCCTTGGTCGTGTGGGTCGTAGTAACTGGAGATTTAGTGGACCTTATATATATAGGTATGAGTGGGAGGACTATGCGTGATTGCTGTATAGGTATTTAAAACTGTGTACTGTTTCTGAACAAATTGCACTAACTTGAGGTACTTTATTAAGAGAGGGGGGGTGTAATTTAACAAAATCTTTGTTGTGGAATGACATTTTCTATCTAAAGGATGAAGTTAATCTAACTTTCTTGGTTGTCACTTTGTCAGGTCCAGAACAATGAAGAGCTAGTAAATTCTTGGCATTCTATTGTCATCATATCTTTTTGCTGGTAGTATGCACTGATTTCTGTCATTGTGGTCAAGGAAAAGACCATCTCATTAATCATTATACAGTAGTGTACTTGTGTGCCTACATTCATTAGTAAACAGTGCTCCTTAGTGGTTACCAGTGGCGTGAAATCATTTCTTCTCTGTGTTTTGTGCTGGACAATTGTCTGTATAATTGTCGGATAGTCAATGCTTTTCTATTGTTTATATTAAGTTCACCTTTTGTACATATCGTTGAGTTTTGTTCATTGCATTTCCTCATTAAGTTCTACAATTAAGGGTCGTGCTTCTTACCTTAAACTGGTTTTGGTGAATACAGGTTTCATGTAGATAAGATGTCCTCTGCACATGTATATGTGAGATTGAATAAAGGTCAAACAATGGATGACATGAGTGAGGGTTTGCTGGAAGACTGTGCACAGCTTGTCAAAGCTAATTCCATTCAAGGTTGGACAAACTACAAAGAGACAATATTATATCACAGATTTTGGCTTTATCTTTTCTTGTAAGAATGTGGAATATTATACAAGCTATAGTCTGGCACATGTGATGATTTCTTCATTTTGGTGCAGGTAATAAAGTCAATAACATTGATGTAGTTTATACTCCATGGTACAATTTGAAGAAGACCCCTTCAATGGATGTGGGTCAAGTTGGTTTTCACAACCCTAAATTGGTGAGAGCTCATCAACTTTTTTTCTGTTCACTATTTTTACAGCAGGATTATGTGCATATGCTTTTGTATGTACCTTGACAAACTTTATATGCTTTATATGGCTGTGGATCAAAATGTGTAATACACGCTTCTGATAGGGTTCCTTACCGTAGAACTAGTATTTTGATCGCCTATATGACTTTAAAAAATGTCCTTACTGTTACTCTGCAAGCAATTTGAATTGGTTTAAACTTTAGAATAACAAAGTTTTCGTAGGAGATTATTCTTTTAATCAGCTTTGAATGCTCCTTGATCTTTGTAGTTTTTTGTATTGCTTCTGTAATGGTTAAGCAAACTTTGGAATTAGTTTTAGTAGCATATTTACTATTGTGAGTTAAATTTGTAATGTTTTGCCATCTGTTATAAAAAGTGGTAATAGGCGATGCCTATGCGCTAGGTGGAGCTGCACTGCCTCGTATGGCACTAAAGCACTTTGTCTAGTTGTTTTTCCACCTAGACTAGAGTGACTTAGAACATGATCTATGTATGAAAGTGGAGAAATAACCATGGTTCTCAAGTTGTCGTCTAGGCGTCCGATCGATTTTCCAATTGAGGCGTCGTGCTTGCCGCGGATTCCATCCGTATGGCATCGCGTCACGCAGCAAGGAGTAAGACAGGCTGCAGCACGTGTGAAAAGGCGCTGTGCGTGGGAGAAGGGAGGTTGCTCGCGCAGTAAGTGAGGGAGTTGCGCATGGGAAACATGAGGGAGTCATGCCTACACCTCTGTGAGGAGGCGCCCCATCCTGGAATCCATGCCATTTGAGAGGGGGAGGAAAGAGAGGGGAGAGGGGAAGAGAAGAAGGCGGCGGAGCACCTGGAACCCAGTGGTGCCGCCTGCCTGCCTCCATCCTCAGCTCCCACCCCATCTGCTCCTTGATTTGCGACTCCTGCACTGCCTTCTGCTCAGAGGTCTATCTTTTTTTCTCCCCTCGTTTTCTGTTCCTCCCCCTCCTTCCTTTGCTCTGCTCCTTCCTTGTTCCATGCTCCTTCCTTTGCTCTTACTCCTCCCTCCTTCCCTGCACTGCTCAAGCTGCTCTGTTTTGCAGTTCTGCTTATGATTGTGTGGGTGCGTGTCTAGTGCTCTGTTCTGCAGTTCAGCACTAGTAATTAAGTTATTATATCATCAGAGACTAATTTATTGCTATTGAGAAATGAGAGATTTCAGATTTGCTACTTTATGTTGTGCACTAGCCAGCAGTACTCTAGTAGCACTAAATGTGGTATTACATGCTAAGAATTGGCAATATTAAGGTATAGTTTGCTTCTAAATTCTAGTATATTTTAAGATAAGATGTTTGTGTGGCGTTGCCTCTCTGCGTCTTAAACGCCTTTTGGCGTCTGGAAGGTGGTGGTTCGCCGCGCCTCACCTTTACCGCCTTAAGAACCATGCAAATAACAAACCAGAGATAGTGGAAGATAATTGTGGCCACATAACTCATAGATGCATGATAATGCCCAATCCATGTTGTTATATGCCATCTTTCATCTATTTAACAATGCATTCTTCCAGCTGAGCGGAAAAAGTAAAACTGCTTAGGAAAGTCTAGGTGCTAGGCAGAGCCTGACCGCATGCCAAGCGATTAGTGCTTTTTGAAACAAACATTGGTTTTGCTCTCTATCTATGGGTGATAAACTTTCAAATAGTATGTAGTTGTTTCACATCCATTTCCCGTTATCTGCAGCATATCAGCAATAACCCACAGAGTCCATAATGATACCCCAACTAAGAGAACATCGTATCATGACCAACTAACAACAAGAACAAAGTACAAACCATAAACATCTAATAATTACTGACAGAAGGCAATGATGATATGTCACCATCTGCCACTGAATAAATACATCCATGAACCATGATCAGTGCATAACTCTAATATCAGCAACTAATGACAAGCTTGTACTAAATGCTTGAGCAGTCTCCACCTGTCATAATTTCTTCTGTGTTGTACTCCTATGCAAGAAAACAAAACTATAACTAAGACAACTATTATTTAGTGGTTAAACGTAATTCCCATACATGTTGTCACAAAGGGCTACTTTACATCGAGGCTCTATAAGTCTATAATTCAATATTAACATCTGCGTATTGATCATTAATATAATGCATCATCAATCTCGTATAATGCTGCATCTTGATGTTTATTATATAATTGCTGAGTCTTGCACTCTGTTTTTCAATACTGATGCTTGGTCAATTGGCTTTTTTTTTTTCAAATAGTTTAGTATGATATATACCTAAAATCTGTATATTCCTAACTGTGCTAACCATTCAAGTTATCTTTTAATGGATCTTTTTGTAATAGTTGATTCTGTTAGAGTTGTACGTGCAGCATGTTTGTGTTCGTTCAGTGGTGTCTCATTGTTATTAACTTGGTATTAGGTTCATCCAATACTTGCAGTTGGATGCAATTGGTTTGTTCTGTCCCTCATGGACATGAAATAATCATGAGAAATATTGAAATTTTGTTGGAATGTGGTTTAAATTTAGATTTAGATGGTGATGGAATCCTGGACCCAATGTTGGGTTTTAGCAATGTCGTGTCATGTGGATTGAAAAGGTTTTATTTTCGTGTTTCCTGACCTTTTTCAAAGAACATTAACTAGCTTACCTTCCTATACCCTATGTATCATGACTTTCCCTGACTAACCATTTGTCACTAGCTATTGCATCTTATTTTTTTTCCTATAATTAATTACTATGATTTATGTCCTACTAACCTATTTAATTTTCGTTATTTCTTATTGCACATATTTATCAATACATGGACTAAAACTGATGAATTGCTTCAGTTATAATATCTGTATATCTTATTCGTTTTGAAGGTTCGCACTATTAAAGTAGAAAAGAGGATCAATGAGATTGTGAACCGCTTGAATAAGACAAAGGTGGAGCGGAAACCTGACTTGAAGGGTATGTCACATTTATTTGGAAGTATTTCTATTGCCATTTTTTATGTCATCATTCAATAATGAACATGATTAATTTTTCATTTTGTTTTTGGGCTTCTTGAAGTGAGTATTGACCTCACAAAGGCAGTGATCAAAGGCAGTGAGGATGTAATGCCATCTATAGGTTAGATCATTACGGTTTTGCAGAATTTAGATGCACAAAAAGATGTTATTATAATAGCAAGAACTTTGTGAATCATGGAAACGTTTCCCTATATGTGGGTATTTGTTTCGTCTATAAATAAAAGGCATGGTTGATGGATTATTGTTTTCACTGAATGATAGATTTGACACGTTGGCTTTCCGATGTGCACTTCAATCCTGTTATTTTCCTCCTGTACTTTTTGTTAGCCTTGCATATTGAATTGATAATCATGATCATGACATCATTTGCTGCAGCTGAAAGAGAGGCTGTTAGTGCTGCTGAAAGGGCAGAAAGAAAGGCGCAGCTTAGAGACAAGGTAAGCTATTTCCTACCAGCCGTGTTTTCTTGTGTTGCCATGTGCTGGTTATGTAGAAATCAAAGATCTACACAGTCGTTTCTATTTCTAGAGCATATCAAATTATATTTATGTGCAGCAAACTGGTTGTAACAGATCTGCTTGTAGAAACCAAAGATCTATGTAGTTGATTCTAGAGCATATCAAATTATATTTATGTGCAGCAGACTGGTTGTAACAGATCTGTTACTCCATAGTGTTGTTTGACAGTGGTCATTGTGTTGTTATTGGTTATAAATGGGATGTTGCTACTGCCTGATAAAATAGCTGAAGTGCTGAACTTTTGACAGTTAGAATACTGAAATAACAGATCACTGGATTCTGTTTTTCTTCTGTTTCAGAAACGTAGGGAAGAGATGGAAAGGCTTGAGAAAGAGAAGCAGGCTGATATCAGGAGCTACAAGGGTCTAATGGTCCAAGAGAAGATGACTTCCAACAAGCAAATTGCTTCTGGCAGCAAGACCCTGCAAGAACTTGAAGAAGACTTTATGTGAGAGGGCGGACATGATAAATGTCGTGCTGAAGATTTCCTTGAACTGCTTCTGTCGAAGACAGAAGGGGTATCACAGGCTTGCGAGATACTGGATCTAAATGACTCATGGGCAGGCCATGGCCTGTTATTATCTCCTCTTGCTGTTGTGGTCTATGTAAACCTGTTTACTTGCTGAAAAAACAACAGTGCATGCTCTAACTGTGGTTGATGTAGTGGTCTGTTGTTCATCAAGTTGAAATGGTAATGGAGTTCCGCTTTCCTGGATTTTTCGAACAATAAATACATGGCAGCGGTTATCTTAGGTATTCCATTCTTTGCTTGGAGAACGGATCAGGGACTTGGGCCCTGTTTGCTTGAACTGCTTCTCACAACAAATTAGTATCAGCCAGCTTATCAGCCGCAGAAACCTAACAGCCGAACAGGGCGGTCTTTGTTTCACTGTTACATATATGCTCTCAGCTACGAATTTTGTTGTAAGAGTGATAGAAATGTACCACATTTAGCTTATATTTGGAGATTCTTGAATTGAAGGACGGCTCATTTTCTTTTACTACATCTACAATTCGACATGATTGCTATGGTTGATGTAAATTTTCGGCTGCTTTGCTTTCTTTAGTTGAATCACCATCAGTCACTTCCAAAACTGTCATTGACAAACTGCTCGTGTTTTCTGTGCTCGTGTTGTCTTTGGCAGCAGTAATATTGACATACAACAGATATCCGTTTCATTTTGACAAAACTTTGGAATTCAATTTAATTTTGCTGACATTTGTACTTTATTGTATTATCATGTCATTATCATTTGCTGATCTTAATATTACTTGAATTTTGATGTAATTTTAATGAGGTTATTTAATTTTCCTGACAAGTGAGTACTCCCAACGTCAGGGTTGCTTCAAAATTTCGAAGTTTTCCAGAGTTACACTACACATCATTACCATAGAAAATCACACAAGGGATGAACATGCTGCAAAAGAAAATTCTTAGCCTTCATCACACGGTTGGAACAATACCTTTCTCTGAAAGTGGGCCCTTGCGTTCATAAATCCTCTGCTCCCCTCCCAAAACCCAGCACAACAAGCAAGAGAAGGGAAAAGGCACCTCAGCCATGGCGCAGCAGCTGCTGCTCCTCCTCCCCGCCCCTTCCAGAACCTTCTTGAAGCCCCTCCCCTCTCCCTTCCTCTCCTCCCTCCCCCGGCGCCACCTCGTCCCCGTCTCTGCAGTTCGCGTGGCACCCGCCGTCCGGCGGGGCCTGCTCCGATACGCGACGAAGCGTTCAGGTGAGCCGCCGGCACTGCTCCGCTTATCTCCCGTCGATTTTGAGCGAGGAATTTTGACGAACTGAACAAGCTCGTTGGCTAAGATGGTCTCCGTTTCTGTGAGCAGGCTTGGTTGAAGAGCTGGAGATCGCCAAGGACAAGCAACCGCGGAGCAGGCGCGCCAATGGCATCTTCTGGATCTTGCTGCTCAATTTCGGCATCTACGTGGCCGACCACTTGTTCCAGGTATGATTGGAATCGCCTCCATGAAGCTAAGCTTGAAGCGCCTGTGATGCATGTTCATCTTGCATAAAGATGTACGTTGCTGCGCAAATTTGTGTTGTCCAATTCAGCAGGGTGATATACATTTCGATTTCCAAACACATCATGCATAAGAGTAATAGGGTATATGCAAGATTTGCTTCTTTACTTTTGAATTTATTCACAACTGAACTGATAGCTGCTGATGTTTTTGGAGTCTTTGTTTGTGTTAGATGCGGATGAGGAGACATTGTGGCAGGCCGAGCATTTCATTTTATTTATTTTAGAACCATTTTGTAATTGACTGCCACAAATATGTTTGCTGGTATAGATTAAGATTTTACAGATTCAAGCTAACGAGCTAATCATAGTCACCCGGGAAAATGATACATTATATTTTTCGTTTCATCATGGTTTCAAGCAATTTTCCCAACTATTTTCGATCCTGGGTCTAACATATAAGGATTTTAGTATGTTGGACATCAGTATTTGTTTCTGCTCTTGGATAATTCAATACATTTATCAATCTTGCACTTGTTTTAATAGAAAAGGGTTCATATACAGCGTGCTTTGCATTCAGTGTCTGTATTATAAATGTATTTGATTCATGATGATGCAAACAAGCATGAAGTTATCTCATATATAAATAAAATCAAATTATTCTAGCAATCTTGGATAAAAGAAAGATATTCTGGCAATCAACATTTGACCTACACTTCTCCATGCATAACATTGGCATTATTGTCCCATCCTTACTTGATTATTGACTTATTGTGTTCTGTTTTTTATAGATCTTATGGCTAGCCCATATATTATTCAACAGCCATACAATGGTATTATCCCATCAGTTAGATCGGTAGATTCTAGACCGACTGTGGTTATATCAATGCAAGGATAAAATTAGGATTGATGTAATCGCTCTTTCCTTTGATAAGGGATATCTTAAAATTTCTTGTTTATATCTTAAGCAGGCATATATACCATTTTTTCCCTGTGCTGAACTGTATATTTACTTGTCAATTTATGTTTGCCTTGCATTTCAGATTCGGCAAATAAAATCACTGTACCTGTATCATGCATTCCCTACATGGTTCCAGTTTGTGACATCAACATTTTGCCATGCCAACTGGTTAGTTTGACTTACTATTCCAGATCAATTTAATTTATTTCTTGCTTCTTGGATATATTACTAATTGATAAAGTTGAGTACATCTGATGGATATATTATAAGTTCATCCATGTACTTCTTTTGTGAGGTTGATTACTCATTAAATCATCAATGGTTTGCTGCAGGAATCATCTTTCAAGCAATTTATTCTTTGTGTATATCTTTGGTGAGAGTTGATTGCTAAAAATGAATGCTCTGCTTGGAACTTATAATTCAGTTAAAGGATGCCTAGTGCTGATCTAAATATACAGGAAAGCTTGTTGAAGAGGAAGAGGGTAACTTTGCTCTGTGGATGTCTTACATTTTGACTGGTGCTGGGGCAAACTTGATTTCATGGTTGGTTCTTCCAACATCCTCTGTGTCACTTGGAGCATCTGGTGCTGTTTTCGGCCTTTTCACCATCAGTGTTCTAGTTAAGGTGGTTAATTCAATGTTGTCCTTCTGAAATTTCTTTACTTAATAACCAGTCAGCCAATGTTTCTTTTTTAAAATGTTGCCTCTACTCTCATGGCAGATGTCATTGGACTGGAGAAAGATTCTTGAGGTGCTTATCCTGGGACAATTTGTTGTTGACAAGGTACCTTCATGACACTATCTTGTTGCTTTCCTTAATCGTTTTTGAAGTAAAAGAAAGGATGTGTTATTACAGAGTTGTAACGAAATGGATGTTTTTATTTTCTCACCATCATATTCTACATGAAAAATGCAATATGTTGATCTACTGGTGGCATATGCAGTGCTTCCCCTACTTATGTTAACTCTATCCACAAGATAGTAATACTAATAGTCATGGTTCTAAGAAACCTAATTAAACTTACGTTTACACTCGATTAAACCCGAAACGGACCCCTAGCGTCTCGTTTAGGGCCTGGGCGTCCAATAAAACTCTAGACACATCTAGGTTGCGTGCGTAGGCGTGAAGCAGTGCTTAAGCGGCGAAGAAATGCGAAAAAGCGGCAGCCTGGCTGGCTTGGTGGGCTATGTGTGACCACGCCGGCTGGTGGGCAGGAAAAAAGCACGCAGAAGAGCCAGTGAAATTGGAAACAGGATATGCGGAGATCAAAATTGCAAGTCCCATCACCACTAGTTTGCAAGAATTGGAATCAAAATTGCCTGTATGTGTTACAATTTCTTCTGAGATCGAAGTTGGGCATCTAATCTGAACCATATGTGTTGCCAGAAAAAAATAAAAATTAAAAAGCACAAACACTTAATTGTGTTTGATCTACGTTTAGTCCATCTAGGCGCTAGGAGATGGCCTAGTGCCTAGCGTTTTTTGGAACCTTGCTAATAGTATGAAATGGATTCCATGGAGGATATGAATGGTTGGAATGACCGTACTAGCGAGAGCAGTCGTCTATTACAGTTTCAAAACCCGGTTCAAGATCACTGTATATACGAAAAACCAGGAAAATTTGCACCATGCTACCTCCCTAGGGAAAATTAGTTAAACAACGAAGAATATAAGGTTCACTGATGTATCTTTTTCTTTATTATGTTTGAATAAACAACCTTGCACAAGGTATATACACATCCGCACGATACTCAAGTACCAGAATTACTATGATAATAGTGATGATTTCAAGCACAACATCTATCAGTAGTTGAACTACACTAAGGGCCTCTTTGGAACGCAGGAATTTCATAGGAATTCTATAGCAATTTCACAGTATTCAGTTCATCTTTCACATGAAAAATGTAGGAACGGAAAAAAAATCCCGCGTTCCAAAGGGGCCCTAAGATGTAACCTGTCACCCTAGGTCATCCTTGCATGTATTGATATACTGTCACCCTCCATAATCAACCTATTATTCCCTGCCAATACTTGTTTACAATCTGATTAGTCTTCCTTTAACTGATAGGTCATGGAAGCAGCACGTGCAACAACAATCACGGGCCAATCATTTCAAGTGAACAACATTGCTCATGTATCAGGTGCTTTGATAGGTGCTGCGTTGGTGTTTCTGGTTAGCAGAATCCCTTTTTCATCCAATGATGATAATCCCAAGGCAACGAAAAGAGAGTAAATAGAAAATATATTTATCAAAAACATTACCAACCTAACATGTTATTGTCAATTTTTCATTCATTATCATTTCTTCATATGATAGCAACTTTTCGAAAATTCAGTTGTAACATTTCTGATTTAAATGAAAGATCATCTGGAAGTTCAGTGCTGGAGTGTAAAGTTCGTTTGTAGACCAATGTAAGCATCTTGATTATCCGGCACTTCACATGTTTTTCCTTCGCATATACTTTCTGCAAGAATGAAAGATCAATCAGATTTATCTATATGAATTTGCCATTCTAGTTATGATCGACAAAAGCTAAAAAACAAGAGAGAATATACTATGTCGAACACGATTGTTCTCTTTTCCTCACAAGAAACATGCCTCGAAGAACTTGCCCAAATCAAACATCTAGCCCTTACACTTTACAGTTGCAGGCAGCCCTGTCCCCAGAGCACAGCTCAAGTGCTCTACCGGCCGGGTGCCTCCGGATCCAACCTACTACCTGTACCTGACTACCGGCGGCGAATCACGTCCTGGGGTTTGTACACTCCGTGGCCGTTCCGGCTGCCGCCAGATGCTCCCAGCGTTGCCACGGCAACCGGCTGGACATACTGCCGGTGAACGGACCGAGCTGGCCCGACAACGTCGACTGCCTTCTCGCTCATGCACATTAGCAGGCTGCTGCCGCTCGGGATTCCGCTTCTCCTCTTGTGAGTGTTCCTGGCAGCGGCGCGCCGCATCGCACCTTCGTCGACGTCGTTGAAGCAGTAGTGGTAGTAGTACCCCGACGCCGCGCTGGAGAAGTTGCCGGACGCCGCGCCGTCTGCGGTGACCACGCTCCAGACAACGCTGGCCTCGCTAGGTGGGTACGTGCACCCAAGCTCGCTCGGAGCCGCGTCGTCCTCGCCAGGGCTCCCTCCGCCGCCGCTGGCAGCGCGCGGAGCATCAACACCCAGCGCCGTATTTCCGGCGACGATTGTAAAAGCAGAGCTTTGCGTCGCTGAACCGAGCGCGCTCCCACGGTTGGCCACCGGCACCGGCCGGATCATTTCCAATGATTTGATGTGCCGCCGCTCGTCGGAGTCGGAGGTGGCTGCTGCTTGGGGATGCAAGATGGGCGTAGACACTTCACCCTTGTTCGTGGCACGGCGGTGGCCATCCATTCCGGCAAGGGTTGTTTTGTCGCCTTCGAGGAGCCATCTGCCATCCGCAGGCGTCACACTCGATCTCGCTGCGGTGACCTCCGGGATCTCTATTTCCAGAAACTGCTCACTCGTTTCCACTTCGTCGGCACTCACTGACTCCTCGGAAGCTCCGAGGGCGCAAGCGCACGCCGCCACTCCGAGCAGCCACCGCCGCAGGTTAGACGACGACGAAGCGGGCCTGCCGCCGGCCCGCTGACCTTCTGCATCCGAAGGCCTCGCTTCGACGATCGGGCTGGCGGCGGCGACAGCGACAGCGCGCAACTTCTCTGCCGGCTCATTGGGCAGCAGAGCGGAGCGGCTGTTCCAGCTTGCTTCCGACGAGCTACTGACGGCCGTCGTCGTCGGGGCGGACCGGTCGTGCTCGTGCGTCCCCGTCCTGAACGCGGACGACAGCGAAGACGAGGAGCGCTCGCACAGCCATAGCGCGTCGTCTCCGTAGAAGTAGCGCTCGGCGGCAAAGACGCCGAGCTCATCGGAGTCGTCGGCATCTGCGTGATCTGGCTTGGCCTTGTTGGGTGCTCTGTATGTGTCCATGCTCGGCTCTAGCTGATGGGCGCATGGGCCGCATGGCGACTATATCTCGCGCTCAGCTTGCGGTCGAGAGATGGTCGTGTGGAGGGAGCTCTCGCGGGCACCATTTTCAGGGATTGATTGGCATGGGTCCGACGCGAGAAAATTCTCTTGGCTGCCCTTGTCTGTTGTCCACGGGTACCTCTCGGAGTCGGAGGCCTTCCTTGAGCTTGTGGCTGTTCTCACAAGAACGCTTCGCATTCGCAGTCTTAACTCCCACGTTGTCTCCTTCCTTCATATCCCCATCTCATCTCTCGTTCTATCTTGATCCCTGACCGACAAGTGAAATCAAGAATGAGTTGAACTGAACGTAACACTCAGCTTGGTTACCTGGTGCAACGTTTGTACTCGTTATACTAACAGCAGAGTGATGAATTTGAGACATTTTGGCACGCTGAAAAGCATATATATACTTGTACTGCGTTATGGTGTTGGCTTGGGTAGACGTTAGGCTCTATTTTTTTTTGAAAGCAAGGTTTGTACTTTATTAATTTTGGGGAGGTTTGTTTACATCACAAACTCCCAAAGTTGTTACAAACTCTAGGAGGGGGTCGATCCAAACATGAGATCGATCTGGGTCCCAATTCAGACCATACATTATAAGCCTGTTTGGCCAGACTTCTCCTTGCTCTGGTTCCATGCTATGATACGTAGCTGAGGAGACAGAGCCGAAACAATAAAAAATAGTCATTTTTCTTAGCTCCGAATTCATTTGGGAAAAAAAAGAGAAAAGAGCTTCAATAAATAGTAACATAAACATTGCATGTGTTGGAAAACGGATGTAAATAAATCTTACTCCGTCGATTCCAAACTAAATCAACTTCTAAATTATCCTAAGTCAAACAATTTTAAGTTTAATCATATTTTAAAAAATAGCTATGTTATTTATGACATAAAATTAGTATCGCTAGGTACATTAAGAAATTTGACCAGCCTAGCCACATCTATTTTTTCGAGTCGTCTCTAGAAATCGATTTGCAGAGGTGACTCGAAATACATCCGCCTCTACAAATCATTGTCTAGGAATAAAAAATCTGGGCCCAAAAAATCACCAAAAAAAAACTAATCTGGGGGAGACCACACCAGACAACAACACATGCATGTCGTCACAAGTCACGGGTCACACGAGTTTTCGCGTGAAAAACCTCAGGCCTCACGCGTTACTCCTTTAACCACTCCGACCCAAACCGACTTCCATAAGACAAATTCATTCCCCTCGTATTATCTTCAACGATTTTGAAATATGTAAGTGGGACCCAAAACGAATTTAAATGGAAAATTTTTCAACTGCAAAGTTGTAGATATTGTTGAAGTCTACAACTTTGGTTTTGTTCGATTCTCTATCTGAGATTGTTTCAAAATTTTGAATTCCAAATGTGAGAAATTCAAAAGTAAATTTCCTTGGAGAGATGATTTCAAATGAATTGTCAACTACAAAGTTGAATAACTCTTCGAGATCTATAACTTTGGATTTGGTTGTTTATCCATCCATGATCATTTAAAAAAAATTGAATTTTATTATGCTACACCTATTTTTTAGAGATGGCTCTAGATCCAGCCATCTCTACAGATCAATTTTTTAGGCGCCACTAGATCCAGTCGCCTCTAAAAATCTATTTGTAGAGGCTAGAGTCATCTCTAAAGATAGCGGCATTTCTAGAGGCAGCTCGCTTTGGGACCAATTTGTGGAGGCGATTGTAGGTTGAGCCGCTTCTATTTAAAAAAAGGTGTTGCTAAAAATAATATATGTAGTAGTATTTATTTTTATTATATATTTGATATTATAGATGTTGTTACTTTTTTATATGGTTGGTTAAATTTATAATAATTTGACTTAAAGTGATTATAGAAATTGATTTATTTTTGGATAGAGGTAGTACCATACTTGGACCCAGCGATGTCCACATAAGTGCAGCTAAGGGCTTCACAACGCTCTTTTTTTACTTGTAGCCCCAAATGTCATGTAGGATCGGATAAAAAAATAGGTGCTCTACATTTGTCATAGTGGTTTGCAGAAACTACATATACTTGGGGAGAGAGAAGGTGGTCCATGCTAAAAAAAGAGGGAGAGGAAATAAATGTGAGGTATGATGAAAGAAAAAAGTTTCTTTACAAACTACAAGTATTGATAGTTTATATTGTGTGAATAGTAGTCTCAACATTACCTAGGATATGTGGATCACTTTATTTATACTAGAATCACTAGGAGTGTTAGCCTTCATTGGTGGTACCCTAAGTGCCAAAGCCTATCATGAATAGTTGGTCCCTTAGCACAGTTGGTCTCATGGCCATGTCCACTGTTGGCGAAAGGGCCTACCATAATAGTCCAAAGCAACTGGTGCCACTCTCTTCTTAATAAGCCGTCTCCAAGCCATGTGGCGTGTGTTTCTATCCTGCGTGGACGAGAGGTCTAGAAACCTTCTTACTACTGTCTTTCCATCCTGAGATCGACCGAAGGGGTGGTCTAAAAACCTTCTTCCAAGTGACGTATGACTAGGTAGAGACAAGAAGTTGCTCTATAAAGCTTTGTATCATGATGTATTACTTTTGAGGTTTTTACAAAAGCTTTCCTTGTATAAAAAAGTAACATATGGGGTTCACTTATCGGTAGCAAGAAAATACCAAAGGTCACCAATAATCAGGTTTATCGAAAAATTTCTGGGTCAAAAATAAAACAAAAATACCTAATTTCACTAGAAAATTACATTAGTTGTCTCTAAAGCATTTAACATAAAAAACTAGCACATAATAGTATTGATATAATAGAGTATCACACCTTTCATGTAGATGGACTAGTCAAAATTAGAATTTCGGTGATAAATAAATTTTATCGGACCTCAGCAATAAACGAGATTATCGGGTTTATCGAAATTTTATCGCCGATAAATAATGTGATTTGCTCCTCCTAAGGTCGCCAATTTCTTTTTCCTCTATTTCTCTCATGCTTCTCCCATCTCTACTACAAAGGTAATTTTAGAGGCGGTCGTTTCTTCTGTCATATAGGTGGACGGTCTAAACGTCTATGTTAATAAGCTATTTATAGAGGAGTTTGTGCAATGTTTTTGTAGTTTTTTTTACAAAAATAAAGAACAAAAAATATAGAAACTTTTTAAAATAATGGGACAAACCCTCCTAGGTAAACAGTGCACGAAGTTACAAGTCACGTGATTTTTTTTGTGAAATACACACTATCTCTAAACTTAACTCATAGCCAGAACCTAAAAAGTGAAATCACCGTTGCTTGCTCTACCTCAGACTATTCTCAGATTTGAAATAGTGGCCAGAGATCTAATTCCGACGAACCTCTGTGGTGACGACGGGGCAACTGCGACCACCATCTTGGCAAACTAACTTATAGGCAGAACCCACAAAACAGAATTTCTATATTGCCTGTTCTACTTCTTTGTATTCTTAGATTTAAAAATAGTGGCAGGAGATTCAATTCCAGCAAACCTCAAGGCGGCAGTGGTTGGGATAATGGAACGATGAAGAAGAAAATCATTGCCCCAAGATAGGGAGTAGCGGTCCTCTACGTATTTTTACGCGTGGATGCCACCATTTTTCTAAGTGCCGATAGATTGGGATACGTTAAACAAAGGTTTATTTTAACCTTGCCAGAAAATTAAGGTTGAGAATAAGTTTACTAAACTATTAGAGATGCTCTTAATTAGGTTCAATTCCTGCTTTTTAACTTTTCCCCAAGTCGAACTTATTATTCATATTATTTTTAGATAAAGGAAATAATATCCGGCTAGAGGAATCAAAACACTACAACCTAAAAAAAATGCTTGCATAGTGTAGTGGTTTGTCGCGTTGGTTCAGTATTAAGGTGATTACTTGGTGGCGCCCTTTTTTGGTTTCTCCGTTTATAACTTATTATTCACATCATAAGTTCATGTGGGTAGAATAGAAGAACCGTAGGAGAGGACGAAAAGTGTGGGCAAACGTTGCAGATATTTGGTGCTTCATATATAGTAAAAGAGATATAAGGGCATCTCTAAGAGTCTTTTTAAAATCTACTATCTAAATCATCATTTGAAGAGTCATTTGAGTAAAAATAGTTTTCTATATCTTTATACTCTCTGACAGTTTTTCTATATCTTGTGCGCAGTCTAGAGAGCCATTCTCATTTTTTATCTTTGGTTAGCGAGAAATTTAGAATATAGGATATCTATATTTGGATATCTAATTGAAGAGACTGTTGGAGGGCGTTTTTTCATCAAAATCTCTATTCCTGTAAATTAGAAAAGATGTATAGAGTTTCTTGGAGATGCTCTAAGTGGCTCTCCTGACTACTTCGTTATAAAAAACGAGACAGAATTGAGCACGCGGGCTCCGATGTTGAATTGATAGGAGCATCTTTCCCGTCGGTGTTTCAGGAACGCGGGTTTTTTTTAAGGAACTCCAACACACCCTCTATACCCTTTCTAATTATTAGGGATACAGATTTTGGTGAAAAATACCTTTCAACAGTCTCTTTAATGGGTTATTCAAATGTAACCATCTTCTAATCCAGATTTTTCATAAGCCAAGGATAGAAAACGAGAATGACTCTCTACAGTGCAAACATGATATAGAAAACTGCTGGAGAGTGAAAACATATAGGAATCGATTTTTATGCAAATGGCTCCAAATGATAATTTAGAGAGTGAGGTTTAGAAATACTCTCAGAGATACTCTTAGGGCGAGTACATTGGTATTGTCTTGTAGATAGTCTTATGCAATGCCATACAATTATGAGATGACTTAAGAGGTAACACGTACAATGAGTTGTCTTATAGGAATTCTAGGGTCCTTAATTTGTGCATACAACAAATGAATATTTGTGAGTTGCATGACAACAACCACTTGTACAATGGTGTATAAGTTGTCCCGTAGTCCTAAATTTTAGCTTATGAGGTGGTTGACAACCACCTCTTTCTCTTACCTCCCTCTCTGTCTCTATATCATCAAAAATCTAATGTGACACCACATGAGACAACCTATGAGACTACTTACGTGTATCAATGTACTTGCCCGAGAAAGAGGTGGTTGTTTAGACTAAAATTTAGGACTGAGACAACATGTACACCATTGTATAAGTGGTTTTGTCATGCAACTCAGAAATATTCCTTTGTTGTATGCACAAATTAAGGACCCTAGAATTACTATGAGACAACTTAAAGTAAAATTTATTGTACATGTTACCTCTTAAGTCGTCTCACAGTTACGTGGCACTATATGAGACTATCTTCGAGACAATACCAGTGTACTTGCCCTTACCTCCCTCTCTCTCCTCCGTGTCATAAAAAATCCAATGTGGCACTATATAAGACAAGCTATGGGACTGCTTACGTGTATCAGTGGCGGAGCCAGGATTTTTGTGGAGCCTGGGCGCGCGAGACGCAACGTAATGCTAATGATCTATTTGGCATGGCTCTAACTCCTTCTAAGATGGCTCTAGCTCTTCACGTGGAGTAGCTTTTTGGTGGAGCAGAAGATATTTTGAAAAAAATATTTGGCAAAACAACTCCTGTTACAACTTTTTAACAATTGTATTAGGATTGTGAGGGGAACATGTAGAAGTCATATTTCTACGGCTCCAGTTCCTCTATAAAAAATGGCTCTAGCTTCTTCAGCCTCTCTGTAACGAGCCTTATAGATGCCTGTTTAGCAAGGCTCCTTGCAAGAAGCTATGAGAAGCCGGAGCCGAAGCCATGTCCAACAAAACCTAAAAGATAATATAGACCATTGTAGGTGAAAGCAAAATTAGAGAACCACAATAATTTTAAGCTCTACAGAGTGTAGTGGTTCCTAACATCTACCACTAATTACCACCTACAGAGCTTTACAGAGAGAGAAAGAGATGCGAACAACATCAGCTTTGCATGCGTTGCAGCTACCAGTATATAGTATAGGTAGTACTTATGTGTTCACCAGGTAAGCTAGGACACAGGTCCAGTGTGGCGGGGCCTTGGCTCCGTCATTTACGTGTATTAATGTACATGCTCCTGACGGGACACGGGAGTGGGTAATGAGTGGAGAGAATTGGTTTGGGTAGTGGCTGATGCTAAAAATTCTCGCACCTTAAACTCCCCGCTTGCGTGGTCAAATTAAGCGCAAACACACAGGCACCTTTGTTTGCGCCCTTCCGGTGCCTACGAACAAGCTACGCCTCTCACTTGTAACTGCGGAATGGCCGGTTTCGTCCTCTGAACCCTGACACAGCTCGCCATTTTTAAGCTGTCGGAGACCTGGCGTCGTCTCAGATTGCTATAGATCGCATCAGGTAGCGTAGCGCGCCGGTCGGGAGAAACAAAGCTGACAACGACGATATGATGCCGCAGCTGCGTAGCCTCGTCGCGCTGCTCCTAGTAGCCACGGCCGTAGCCACCGTCGTGGCCGTCGCCGCAGCCGGTGGCGGGTTTGTCGTCACCGGCCGCATCTACTGCGACAACTGCCGCGCCGGGTTCGAGACCAACATCTCCCACGCCATCCAAGGTGAGCCTGCATGCCTGTAGCCATGCACACTGATCTGGCGCCTGCATTTGTGAAGCCCATGCATGCATGCATGCCATTTGCTATGCATTGTATGCATCTGCGTGACAAAACAATGCGTCTGCATGCAGGCGCGACGGTGGAGATGGAGTGCCGTCACTTCGAGTCGCAGCAGGTTCACGACAAGGCACAGGCGACGACGGACGCCGGCGGGTGGTACAAGATGGAGATCGGCGGCGACCACCAGGACGAGATCTGCGACGTGAGGCTGCTCAAGAGCCCCGAGGCGGACTGCGCCGAGATCGAGCTCTCCCGCGACCGCTGCCGCGTCCCACTCACCGGAAACGACGGTATCAAGCAGAGCGGCGTCCGATACGCCAACCCCATCGCCTTCTTCCGCAAGGAGCCCCTCCCCAACTGCGGCGAGCTCCTCCGCGCTTACGACCTCTATAACGAGACGTCTGAGAATTCCTAAATAAACATCATAAGTTTTTTTTTTTGGAGGGTGGTTTCCTCTTCCATATATATATAGCACATTTAATTTGTTCGATTGATGCATGGATGTTATATTAGCAGACAGCTTTCCTAAAAATAAAAAATAAGTTTCATCTCGCATTATTTTAGTAGCTGCCATTAATATTTTTTGAGTTGCATTGTATAAATACTGCCGTCACCTTTGTAGCTGGAAAAAAGAGGAAAAAAACCTATGCTGTAAATTTAATTTTTGATCAACTTCTTTCTGAATTTTGCGTGTGCCGCTGCAGCCGTTGCCCATTGTTCTGTTCTGTGTGATATTTCTTTCTACGCAGTAGTAAAAGGAAGCTTTATTCCAATCCTTGCCAAGTTATGCACTCAACTAATATTTATTGCAAATCAAGTCTCTGGCTCATAAATGCAAGCTCTTAAGAAGTTCGCAAGATGTAAATCTAAGCAGTAGGCCTATTCGAGGACAGTCATCATGTTTAGTAAAGATCTCTACTGTTGTTGCCCAAGACTTGTCTATTTTAATGATACTGGGTCGTGTTTCTTTTGAAAGATGGGTTTGAAAGTTGTCCAATAGATAGCTCAGAAAACAACCTATAAATAATAATATAGTTCCTTTTTTTTACACCGGTAAAACCGAATTTCATTAACAAAGCAACGAAATTACAAAGTGCAACAGTTGAGAACCATAGACCAACATATATCTATACCTAATATTAGAAAGGCAAAATTTCTCTCCTATTTTTTCATTCGGCTCTTCTCTAACTAACTTTGTGAATGTAGAAATTGTCTCTCTTGGTCTGTCTATAACTCTCCTGATTTATATGATACGTTCTGTACAGCTACGAAACCAAACCCAAATTGATATCTGCGATTCCAAATAAGCTGAGTAGGAATCGTAATCTTGGCCGTATTATTTTCCTTCCTATGGTGATGAAACAGAGATCGAACCAACGTTGCTCTCTCGTCTCTCCTACTCAAAATTGGCCAATCACATAAGCATGCACCTATCCAGTTACGTGCATGCATAAACAGGGGCGGATTCAAAGGGGGGCTTGGGGCTCCAGCCCCTCATAATGGCTTGATTTCACCACTAATCACTGTAGCAAAAACTTAATTTCACCATTAAATCTTCGTGCAAATTAACATCTCCATTGTTTTAGCCTCCCTTATCCCGCATCGTGCATCCGCCACTGTGTATAAACGAATAAATCACCTCATTGGCAGATAACAGTGTCTAATATTCCCTTTTTAAATCACGTACGCAACACTTTTTCACCCGACCAGCTCATCTCTGACATAAAGTCCAAACCATTAATGATACTTTGTTTCCAAATTCCACAATTATTGTTTCTATCAATCGTTGTTTTGGTGCCAAAAGGCATGGACCAGGGCGCTCCGGCCACCACCCGACTTCGCCTATCAGATCTTTTTTTGCAGATTTTTAACGTAGAAAAATCAACAAACAAGTAGGGAAAACTCAGGTGGCACGCTCGGAGGTCAGTTGCGCCGGAGGAGCGTGACGAGAGGGTGACGAGTCGGTGGCGGCGGACAAACCCTCGCTGGGGGCGCGCGAAGGTCGCTGCCTGCCACAGGAAGAGACCGTCCCTTCAGCAACTGGACCCAGGAGTGGTTGGCTGAGGAAAGGAGATTACCGTCATACCCCTGGCTCTTGTATAACGTTTGCCAGCTAGGGTCTAACCCTAATGTAATTCCACCACGTCTCCGAGTATGGCCTATAAATGCCTGGAGCACTCGTGTAAGAAGGAGGTCGAACTTTTTCGGACAAATTAATGTGCATTTAATCCGTACTTTTCCGTCTCCTTGTCTTCATGTACCCTTGCTCATCCCTTCACGACAGTTTAGTCACTCACCTGTGGGAAGCCCTCGGCCTCTCCCCCCGTGTCCTTCAGCGAGGGTGAGAGGCTAGGAGTGACCCCACAGTTGGCGCCGTCCGTGGGGACCCTAGTCCGCCACTCCTCGAAAACAATGGCAACAACGAGAAGAAACACCCAAAGGGATTCGCCCCCGCCGCGAGGGTTGGACCCAGTAGCGGGAACCTCCACAAGTGGAGTCGGCGGGACTCCGGTACTCCAACCCGCTGCTCAACCGACGAGAACACAACTCGAGTTGGATAGGGCCGGGTCAGCCGAGGCCGGAGCCAACCCCCAACCTAAACCGCCCAGAACGGAAGAAACCAGCCATGTATCGGAAGACGACGAAGATGGTGCAGAGCTGAGAGGCCTCGAGGCCCTAAACCAAATGCATGAGGAACTCTAGAAGAAAAGTCGTTGAGTCGAAGCCCACTAGAGGCAGGCACGCTTGCAAGTGATAAGGCAAAAGGCAGATGAAGCCAGGGAACAACTCAGGCAAATGGATGAGTACCTTGCTTCGATCAAAGCTAACCCAAAGTATCTACCCGAACAGCACGACTTGCCACCTCAGCTCCACCCAAATCCACCTCCACTCTACCCAAATCCACCTCTGCCCCACCCAAATCCACCTATGCTCCACCCGAATGCACCCCCACCACCACCTTGTTTTCACTAGATCTACCCAGAATACATTCCCCCAGCCATACAACAACACCACGGAACCAACCTCCGCCGATACCATACAACCCAAAATCCCCATTGACCCAGATACTCCAAACTAGAAACTGGCCGCTCGAGTACAAACCACATAACCTACCAAGGTACGACGGAGGCATAGACCCTCGCCAATTCGTAATGAGCTACGAGGTGGTAGTGGCAGCAGCAGACGGGGATGAGTATACCATGGCGAAGTCCTTCATGATTATAGCAAGGGACATTGCCCAAAGCTGGTACAGCAACATCCCGCCAGGCTCGATAGATTCCTGGGGAGCCTTCGCGAAAAACTATGCAACAATTTCAAAGGTATAAGCCCTTCGGCAACCAATCCCATGGAATTACTCACCTGCGCTCAAGCCGAAAGAGAACCCCTATGAGACTTCTGGTGAAGATTCGTCCAGCTTAGAGAGAGGATACCAAACATAATAGATGATGCAGTGATCCTAGCGGCAGTCAATGGGGTAAGACCAGGGCCAAGTTCCTCGAGACTAGCACGGAAGCCACAAAAAACCATCATAGAGTTATACGAGGTCATGGATAAGTACATCAGATCAGACACTGTCTTCCATTCAAAGACCGAGGCTTTGAAACCTCAAACGCGCCCGCCTCCGGGACCACCATAGCGCAGCCAGTACCCTCGCAACGAACCAATTAACGTGAACACCATAGAGACCACACCTCCGCAACGCCAAAGACAGCAACCAAGTCCAACATCTCAATAGACCCCCACCAACAGCAAGAATGACAACAGAGACAATACCCAAAGCAGACCCAACCCAAGAGATCCAGCGAAGCTATACTGCCATTTATGTGGACCAAGCAAAGGCCACTTGACAAAGCAATGCTCATGTTTCGTGAAGGGAAAAGAATATCAAGAAGCACGTCAAGCCGTTGCTTCAGGCCCACCAAAAACCTATTAACTACACAAGGAGACAACCCACCCCCGCAACTACCCCATACCAATACACACCAGTAAACTATGGCATCCCCTTGCAACAATATCCTCAGCATTACCCAACCTTCGCCGGCTACAATCCCTCCTATCATCTTTACAACACTTATGACAACCCCCAACCATCATACGGCTACAGCAATCGCTCCAATAGCCAACCATACACGGTTACTCACCCACCCACCCCCCGCCACCACCAGCTCAGCCACAACAACAGTAAGTAAAACCAGAACCCGCTAGCCATCCCATTCAAACAACAATCAACAACCCAGCCACAACCTTCGTTGTAATACTCGCAATCACCAGAGGATCCAACGATGATCATGGCAACAAGAGATAGCGCAAAGAGCATATGAGGCGGGTACACCACCTAGCCACCGAAGGGCCACACAAGAACTCGCAATGGTCTCACATCCCAATAACCTTCGACAGTACAAATCTCAAACTAAAAGACTACCCTCACACCGATGACATGGTAATCGAGACAAATCTAGCTGGTTGGGCAGTAATAAGGATCCTGGTTGACACTGGCAGCTCCACCGACATCCTATTCGCTTCAACCTTCGACAACATGAAATTAGACAGAAATCTTCTCCAGCTGGCTGGACGTCCGCTATATGGATTAGGGGACAAACAAGTGAAAGCCATAGGCAAAATCACACTCCTAGTAACCTTCGGCAACCAAAGCAACAATAGGACAGAGCACATAACCTTCGATGTGGTTGACATGCTATACAACTACAATGCAATCTTTGGCCGAGGGGTCACAAACATTTTTAGCGTAGTCCTCCACCTGGGCTATCTCTGTATGAAACCGCCCTCCGCCAGAGGCGTCATTGCCATATACGGCAACCAAGACCTCGCTAGAATAGCAGAAGAAACAGCCACCCCAGGGCAGAAAAATGTACACAACCTGGGTAAAGAAAAGCCAACAGTCAAGATACCCTCGCCAAACAAACCAGAACAACAAGTCAGGGCAAAACTAGCAGAAGAAACCTAGAAAGTACTACTAATCGAAGGTAACACCAGCAAGCAGGTCATCATCTCTGCTATGCTGGATGGCAAAACTGAGGCCGAGCTCATCCACTTCCTACGCAAGAACAATGACATCTTCGCATGGTCCGTAGAGGACCTCAGAGGGGTAGACAGGTCCATCGTTGAGCACATCCTTGACGTCGACACAAATCACCCCAAATCAAGCAAAAGCTTCACAAAATGTCTGAAGAAAGAAAGCAGATAGACAAGGCGGAGGTCCAAAGATTGCTCGATGCGGGGGTCATCCGACCAATTAAATACCCAACTTGGCTATCAAATGTCGTGCTAGTCAAAAAGAAAAATGGCAAGTGGAGAATGTGCGTCGATTTCATGAGCCTAAACAAATCCTGCCCGAAAGATGATTTTCCATTACCAAGAATAAGCACCCTCATTGATTCAACAACTGGTTGAGAG